GAGAGAGAGAGAGAGAGAGAGAGAGAGAGAGAGAGAGAGAGAGAGAGAGAGAGAGAGAGAGAGAGAGGTTTGAAGGTCTGCTGGCCAGTGCAAATCAGCATTGAGTGTCGGGGGGGCGGGGCTCTGCATGAAGCGATTCACGTATGTATCTGTTGTTTGGTGTTCCCTTTTTTTTTTTTTTCCCCTTGTTCTCTTCCCACAAGATTTGCCTAATGGTGCTCGCTTATGCTTTTGTTGATTCCCACAAGATTTGCCTAATGGTGCTCGCTTATGCTTTTGTTGCTTTGCTCTTGTCTCTTTTTTATTTATGATGATATTCCTTGTTGTTTCCAGGTTGTTCAATGGGGGCGTTCAGTCTACGTCAACATTCAAAAATTCGTTCAGTTCCAGCTAACGGTCAATATCGTGGCGCTTGCTCTCAACTTTGAGTCCGCGGTCTCCTCAGGGACAACCCCCCTCACAGCTGTGCAGGTATTTTTTTATTTTTTATTTTATTTTTTTTGTCTTTTTAAGTTTTCAACTTTCAAGTTTCAGCGCTTTTCTGAGTTTTCTTTCTCTGAGATCTCCTCAGGGACAACTGCCCTCACAGCTGTGCAGACATTTTTCAATTTTTATTATTGTTATTATTTTTTTGTTTTTTCTCTTTTCGAGTTTTGAACTCTTTTCTGATTTTTTTTTCTGGATATTATAATACGCAACTGCTAGGGGCCAGAGGGACGGGTGCGACGACAACTTCACAGTAGAGGCAGTAACTGTTGACGACCTTCTGAGGGTGCAGAGGCAGGGTCTAGAGTCTAGACATTCTGTTTCTTGGCGTACTTCCGGGATGCTGGGCCTGGTTCCCAGCACGTGCTGCTCCCTACAGATAAGATCGGAGCCAGCAATGCCAGCCTCCTGCAACAGCTGTGGGCTCTTTTTCCCAACTGTGGCAGGCAGGCAGCGGTCGCATTTTTCAAAAAAGAAAGTTAAAGAAACGAAAAAACAGAACAAAAAAGTAAAACAAAAGGTGGTAGTCTGTATATGGGACGCTTGGCCCGTTTCCCAGCAGGTGATGCTCCCCACCAATAGATGGAACTTCTCCCCAGGTGCTAGTGGTGTCTGCTCTTATCAGCACCACTAACACTGGTGGGGGGGCGTTTCGGGAAAAAAAAAAAAAAAAAAAAAGAAAGTTTACAACTGCGGGCCTCAACTTGCACGTGCTTCTTGCGCCTTTGACATGTTCGCTCATGCCGCATTGATAAGACAAGAAAATTGCCTTATTAGGACAAGGTGGCGGGCTAGAGGGAGATGATCAGATCAGCCACCTCTAGCAGATTGAGGCTGGTTAAAAAAAAAAGAAAAAAAAAAAAGGGACAAGGKGGCGGGCGCCCCTTGGGCACCGTTTCACTAGAAGGGCACTTTCACTGTAGCACGGGTGTCCACAACGTGTGCAGCTTCGCATCGACTGTGGATGTTCTTTCGTTTCTTTCTCTGGGTTTTGATATTGCGCCCCAAGGATTTCTAACTTTTCTTTTTTCGAAATTTTTTCTCCATTTTTTTTTTTTTTTGGGGGGGGGGAGGGCGGCGGTGGGGGGGGGGGCGTCCTATTTTGTTTTGGGGCCGACAGAAGTACAAATTCCATTTACGCCATTGGCTCATACCACACCTAGATTTTGCTGTGAATATTTGGCATATGGGGCCTCCTATCATTCTCAGGCTATAGTGCTGCAACTCGTGTGCCAAATTGAGCCCCTGGGTCCTCCCCGCGCCCACAGACAAGCACGAACGGGCAGGCTTGAAAATAGAGGGGTCAAACAGGCCTCAGAAAGGGCCCAGGCTGACAGTTGACCGAAAAGTCAACAGTCAGCTCGTGGGGGCCCGGGCCCAGATCCGAGAAGTCAAAGTCAGCACAGAAGAGTTTTTTTCCTGGCCGTCGATCTGGAATGATATAACAGTGGTCTGCAGGTTCCGGAAGATTCAGGCCTCAAGGAGTCCAGACCGAAACTGGGACACATTGGAAGATCCAGGCCCTTGCATGGACCGGCGCTGACTGAGGACAGGCAAGTCGACACTATATTAAGTTGACGTCGCCACTGCTTGGGCATTCAGTCTTGCGAGTTGGTTGCGGCGACGACGCTGCGCGTGAGACTTGAGAGGAGATGCTGGTGCCAGACAGCTGGATGGGCGCCAGCCAGATATCATAGTAGTGAGATAGGGAGAGGGCGGCCAAGGCCACGATAGAAGACGGCGAGGGAATGACGAGAGGGACGAGGGAGAGAGAGAGAGTGTTGATGATGTGAGTCGTTGTGCGTACGTACATGGTTTCTTCAGATGTGAAGCTGCTGCCGATCCTGGTCGCTGTTGGAGGATCGTTTATGTGCGAGGGGATGCTTCCACATCGTCCACGTGTTACGCGGATTTTTGACGTGGCACACTGTGTGCATATCGCTGATGCTGACGTGGCATATCAAGTATGGAGTGCTAACGTGGCACCTTGAGTGCATATTGCTGATGTGGCACATTGAGTACAGATTGCTGACGTGGCAGATGTGGGGAGCCTGAAGGAGAAGAGGGCATTACACTTCTTCTTCCAACTGTCTATTCTCCCCTCCTCTCCTTTTCTGGATATTGTGGACTGTGAGACATACATGTGGTAATGAAGAAAAACAAGTACTTCAGTGACTTTGAACTGATGGACTTATTGGGTTGATTATCTCACGACATTGCACGACATTGTTATTTACATTATGATTGTCTGACGAGATTGGGTTCATTACAATTTGGTATCAGAGCGGACTCACCTCATCTCGCCAATTCGCTGCTCGATTGAAGACGACTGCGCGATAGAAGTTGAAGATGTCTCTCTGATAGAGTGCTGACGTGGCACGTGCAGAGTGGTTGCCACGTGGCACTTGTCGGCTGATTCCCGCAAGGGAATAATTCACCAAACTAGTCTCTCTCTGAAAGGGGTGCTGACGTCAGGGGAACAGACAACAAAGCTATGCTTTTCGTTTTCCTTTTCTTTTTTTCTTTTTTTAAATCAACTGGGCCTTATGGTCCTGATCCCGTTTTTTTGCCATCATAATCATGATTGCAAGGAAGATGAGCAATAGCGAACTTCAGCAATCAAACAGCATCATACACATTAGACCAGATAGTCGTGACCTCAAACCAAAAGCAGAATTGCATCACGAGTTTGACCAAATAAGAGCACACGAAAAGCTCATAATTGACAATGCTGGAATAGTCTCATCGTCATCATCAACGAAGAACCAATGTTGATATCCTATCTGGCGCTCGGCGCCCAGACTACAGATGGCAGATCCTAACTAGCCTACTCTACAATGCCGCTGATGACGTCAACAGCTCCCCGAAGTACGAGCAGATCTCGGCCAATGCCGCACCCTTCAGGCACTGTCTCTTATACACATCTAGATGTGTATAAGAGACAGGCTCGGCTATGGCTGCCTGCTCCTTCCAGCTCGCCCGTGAGCGCGTGAGCCTGCCAGGCGATAGCGCAGCAGCGCTTGCGCACAAAGCAGCCAGTGCCCGAATTTCCAATGCCTAGGCAGGCCCTTCCCTATATCGAAGTGGCCTGCCGCTGCGTGCTGTCCTGTGGTACTGGGCCCCGGTCCAGAAGCTTCCGGTAGGCCCAGGGAGGCTGAGCCTCAGTCCGAAGTCAACAGGCCCAGGGCCTGTGGTGGTTACCAGCACTCAACTGCCCTCAGCCTTTGTTCGGTCCACTTTGTGTATCCGGCCCAGGGCCAGGCTGCCTCAGTTACATGCAATGCAAGGCAGCCTGGGCCTGGGCGCTTCCAACCGACTGGCACTGCGCAACTGCCTGAATTTCCCCAGTTGCGCAGTAGTCCAAAATAGGCCTCTTGAGGTCTGTCCAGCCTGCCTTCACTTAGGGCGGCCGACGCTTGTTGCAAATAGGGGCCCAGTAGGGCGTATCGAGGCCTTGTGCCTCACATCATTAGAAAAAAAAAAAAAAAAAAGGTGCTTATGGTGCTGGCTCCATATCCATTCTGGGCATTCCGTTTTTTTTCCCCTGCCCTGCTGAGTTTTGAATAATGTGGATGATATTCTGTTTGATGAAATGTATAAATTAATAATGATATATATCCGTCCTTGTTGCATGGCTGGCAGCTGCTTTGGGTGAATCTCATCATGGACACGCTTGGAGCCCTTGCCCTCGCGACAGAGCAACCGACGCCGGAATTGATGGAGAAGAGGCCAGTGGAGAGGGGATCGAGCCTTGTGAATTATGCCATGTGGAGAAACATCATTGGTCAGGCAGTGTACCAGCTACTGATTCTGCTGATCATCCAGTTTAAGGGAAAGGAGATCCTGACGAAATTGAATGTCATCGATGGGCCGGTAGCCAAGTGGGAGCTTGAGACTGTCATGTTTAACACGTTTGTGTTCTGCCAGGTAATTATCGATCATCAATGGGCCAGTAGCCAAGCGGACTCACGGTAAAAACAAAAAGGAAGGAAAATAATCAAAGTCTTCCTAGTGCCTACCTAAGTCTTTTGTCCCCTGCTTAAGGGTGAAAAGCGGGGCAAAAAGAGAGAAAAAAAAAAGGAAGTTAGATGCATCACTGAGCATAGGGAGAACAATCGTAAGGAGGGGAAAGGAGAGCTGATGAAGGTGGGGGAGAAAAAGGGGCAAGAGGAGAAGAAGAGGGAAAGCAGAAGCAGAAGAAGAAGAAGAAGAAGAAGAAGAAGAAGAAGAAGAAGAAGCCAAAGAAGAAGCCGAAGAAGAAGAAGAAGAAGGAGGAGGAGGAGGAGGAGGAGGAGGAGAATAGAGAAGAGAGAATAGAGATGAGCGAGGCCAACACTATGTGTCCATGAATACAAAAATCAGGAGTAGTGCTTCTTCACAGACGAAGTCGGGTCATAACCATAACAAAGGAAAACCAAAGAAGCACACGGCTATGCTCACAGCAAGACGACAACGAAGAAGAAGAAGAAGAAGAAGAAGAAGTGAAGGAGATGTAGGAGGAGGAGGAGGAGGAGGAAGAGGCAATTAGTGGTAAAAGAACCACGATGGTGTAAATTGTAATTGGTAGGGGTTTCTTGAGCCTCAAGGTGGATTTATTTGGCATTTAATTATGTAACAAATACATGGGTGGTGGTTTACATTTGCTGAACGGAAATACAATTTAGTTATTTTTTTATACCGTATAGTGGATTTTGCAAATTTCCACTTTAATAGTGTATTAAATTGGATATACACAAAACACAACCCATGCATAGCAGGAGGTATAAAGGTGCACAGGATGGTAAACTTGCTGGCCCGACCCTGCCAGCATTGCGTCTGTATTGCCCTGCCACAGAGTGCGGCACAGCATTAAACCACCACTGCCTTTCGGGCCGGAAGGCGACCGGCGTCGTAAATATAACCTATACCACATTCTTTGGAAGCCGGCAGAGGCTGCGGGCAGTACTGGACCAAGAAGGCTGGCGGCGCCAGCCAAAACAAAACAAAAAACACCGCGCTGGCGCTTCGGGCAAAGCTTGGTGTGCAGTTCTACTCTGGCCCCTTGGCAGAAAGCGGCTGGGAGGTATTGCTGGTTTAAAGGGAGGGGGGAGTGGGGGGGCGGGGGCGAGTTGAAAATTTAAATTGTGTCTGTGAGAGTGTGCTCTGTGTGTGCTTGTAGTGTTGTGTTCCTTAATTTTATTTCTCTTTTTTCAAGTTTTTTGTGTTGTTGTTGATTTCACCCATTAACTTTCTTTCTCCTCTCTGCTGTGCTGTTGTTGGTGGGCTTTGTGACATGGTTGGGCTGCTGCTGGTCACACATCGACGAAACATCGAACGCTTGACGACATGGTTGCGCCACTCAAAAAAAAAAAATTGCCGCCGTCCGATGGATATTCGCTTGGTGGGTCTGACTTCTGTGTCCCTTCCCTCCCGGTCAGTGGATGTTGGTTTTTTATTATATGCTCCTCTTTTCTTGCATATGCTGCATTTCTTCATTCCCTCTCCCCCCCCCCCCCCCCCCCCCCCCCCCCCCCCCCCCCCCCTCTTCTCCCCCCCCCGCCTTTTTTTTATTCCTCCTTTCGGTCCGTTCGGTCCTTTCTGACATTCTTCCTCTTCTTTCTTTTTTCTTTCTTCATCGTTTCATTGCATTTCCTTATTCTTTCTTCTTTCTTCTTTCTTCTTTCTTCCTTCTTCCTTCTTCCTTCTTCTTTCTTCTTCTTCTTCTTCTTCCTTCCTTCTTCTTTCTTCCTTCTTTCTTCCTTCTTCTTCGTTCGTCCTTCTTCTTTCTTGCTTGTTAACCGGTGTGGAGCCGTCTGTTAACTGGTCGTCGACCAATCGCTTCATTGCATTTCCTTCTGTCTTCTTCTTTCTTCTTTCGTCTTTCTGCTTTCTTCCTTCTTCTTGCTTCTTCTACCTTCCTTCTTCCTCCTCCTTTCTTCCTCGTTAACCGGTGTCGACCCAATTGTTAACTGATCGTCGACCAATGGTTTCATTGCATTTCCTCCTTTCTTCTTTATTCTTTCTTCCTTCTTCTTGCTTCTTCTTCTTCCTTCCTTCTTCTTCCTTCCTTCTTCTTTCTTCTTTCTGCTCTCTTCCTTCTTCCTTCTTCCTTCTTTCTTCGTTCTTCGTTCTTCTTTCTTCCTTCTTCTTCCTTCTTCCTTCTTCCTCGTTAACCGGTGTCGACTCAATTGTTAACTGATCGTCGACTCAATTGTTAACCGGCGTTGACGCAATCGCTAAGCGAGCGTGGACCCAATTGTCAACGGATGGGTGACCCGAAAGAGGCGTGGGGCGAAATGTTGTGGAGCAAAATATTGTGGGGTGAAACTTGTGGTATGGCGGATTATTATAACAGGTGTTTAATGAGATTAACTCAAGACAGATCGAGAAACTGTGGGTCTTCTCAGGGATACTCAAGAACTACATCTTTATGGGGATAATGATTGTTACTGTCTTCTTCCAGTACTTGATGGTGGAGAAGTTGTGCAAATTTGCGAGCACCATTCCGTTGTCTATGAAGGAGTGGGCTTTCTCCGTGGTGGTGGGGTCCACCACCCTGATACTTGGGGTTCTCCTGAAGTTCATCCCGGTACCATCGGATGAAGTCCAGACACACACACAAGTTTCTTCACCTTGGAAAGCGTTCTCTTGGTTTCAAAAGAAAGCATCCTCTGGCAACGACAATGACATTGATGACGCCTACCGCCCCCTTGCCCATCAGGCTGTGTAAGGGATGGATCCCACGGCGCAGGCACCAGACTGCTCATGGGGCGCACCACGCAGTGATTTTCCCACAATGCCCGCTGCAGGTGATTATCCCACGGCCTCCACTTCAGGCTACTGTACCGCCACACGCGCTTTCCCGTGAAGGAAAGCGCATCTGAAATGGGAAAGAAAACGATGGCACACCTCACGGATTTTCAGCTAGAAACTCGTCGTCCAGTTTGCGGCAGTGTGGAAACACTGCCACTGTACATGTCCCATCGGCTGGCAGCCATGACGGGACAGGGAGCAGTTTCCGCCAGCCAGTGGGATCCATCCGTAACACGCACCTCGTTCATTCTCTCTCTCTCTCTCTCTCTCTCTCTCTCTCTC